TGATTGCTTCACCTGAGACTTCTCCTTTTATCTTTAAAGCAGGTTGATTCATCTGTGGTTTGACACCTCTATATTGATCTGTCCTCTGATTGCCTTTAAATTGTCTGCTTCTATGAACATTCTTTAGACAGTTTCTCTTGATATGTCCTAATTCCCCACAGAAATAACATTTTCCTGGATGGAGATTTTCCACAATTTGCATAAACGAATAGTGTAGGAACTCTTATAGACTGATGTTGTGGCTTTTGATAAAATTTCTGTCTATTTAATGATCCACTCATGAAATCATCTTGTCTCTTTCTTCCTTTAGCCTACCATTTTTGTTTGACCAGCTCTATATCATTCTCCAACAATCTAGCACATTCAACCAGTTCAACAAATTCATTTATGCGAAGAGGAATTAATTGATATCTCAATGAATCCCTCAATCCTTTCAAAAATCTATAATATTTTCATCTGAAATGTTGATAAGCTGCGGAGCATACCTCGATAGAGTTGTAAATTCTACTTTATACTCAATAACAATCTTTGCTCCTTGTTTTAGATTTACAAAGCTTTTATGTATTGCCTGTCTTACTGAAGGATGAACATACCAACATCTAATGACTTACTCAAATTCCTTCTAAATAATTTGATCCTCTTCTCTTACTTTGAATTTTTTCAGATGTTGTCCCCTCCACCACCTTTCTGCTTCACCTTCTAACATAAAGATTGCTAGGGGCATACATCGGTTCTCAGTCTCATTTCATTCAAAATTTTCTCAATCATAATAATCCAATCTTCTACACTTCTAGCATCAACTTCACCTTTAAACAATGGTGGTTTTAGTATTTGGAAAAGCTTTAGAAGCTTATCTACTTTTGCTCCCACAAGGTCACCTGCCTCAGCATTTGCATTACTATTAGGAGTGGTAGGAGTGGCTGGTGTAACAATAGATGGAACTCTAGGTGCTGCAGATCCCACCATAGATTACATCATTTCCATTATCCACATCATCATACTCATCATTTGCATTTGTATTAAATTCCTTGACATTACGTTAGCATCAGGTCCTACTTGTGCATGGTCTACACTGGATGCACTGCCTCCTACTGGTGCAACACTTTCAAGACCCTCAGATATCTTATCAGGCTCAAATGACTGACCATCAGTCCCTTCAAGTATTCTTTCAGCCATTATATCTGCAATGCATTATATCATGAGTTATGTATTTATATAATCATGTACATCTTATTGGATGTTACTTTCATATGCTTAAATACAAGCGAGGATAAGTTAGACTTATTACTAACTTAAAAATACTATATTCTCCTAGGCTCTGTAATAAATCTATCATATCCAATCACATTCTCTTAGAGAACTTAATTTACTTATGCTTTTGTATATTTATGCTACTGTCATTAAATCCCCAGAAACATAACTCTTTGCTTTGATACCACTTTTATAACACCTCATAGTACTCCTTAACAGTACTGTAGAGTGTGACAAGCATAAACATAATATTTTCATCATTGAACATCTGATTTTTCATTCATTTGAAAAAGTGATATAAAATATCCATTAATATATCTATTATATTAATGAAAATATTTAATAACTTAAAGTTTTATCAAAGCAATACTTATAGAGCCACTAATACAATTCCAAAATAATATAACATTGAACTATTTACGTACCTCAAATGTAGATTTCACAAACAAAGATAAATACTAGCATAAAATGTGAAATAACTTGCAAATTAATCTACAACGATCTTTTTCTCTTCTTTTCATGTAATAACAACCAGTAAGAAAGATATTGATAAGCTATGAAGCTCAATAAATTTTACAAATTAATTAATAGTTAAATTATAATAATTGTAATAAATCAAAATATTAAAATTATTATTGAATAAATTTACCCTTATAAAACATCATAAAATTATAATTAATATTAGTCTTTAATTCTTTTAAAGTTTACACTGAATATCAATTTTAATTTATAAAAAATTTGGCTACACTTTCATAATAATATTTAATGGAGCTCAGATAAACTTGCCATTATCACCATTAAATTATATAGAGATCACTTTTGCATCTTTAAGAGTCCCTTTTATCACGCCTGTTTGTATGTATAATATTCTCTGATGTCCTTTTTTCCCCACTTACAATGTAAACTCCTATATGGGAACCTTTTTGTCCCACCTATAAGAATAAATCATATATCTTTTATAGCCAAACTTTACTTTAAATTGATATTCACTAAGCTTCCAATATTCAGAGTTTTTATTTTTTTACATGCCTTCATAATATCATCTTAGTTATACCATTTGCATAAAGAAATGGGTATGTCATATATTACACTTTACTTTAAATTTGATTCATTCAAATTTGCAAGTGATTATCCATACATGAATACTTGACTGTCATATACATAATACAAATCGTATTCTTTAACGACTATCTTTCTGAGTTATCCTTAGAAATTAATATACATGCCTACAATGATACAATATATACATTTAATTAAAATTTTGCATTACTTACCTCCTTGAAAATTCATCTCTTCAATTCCTCCACCACGCACTCTTCTTCGATTGTGCGTAACCTACCCAAATAATTTTTAATTCTCTAATTTTTTTAATTTAGTATTCAAATAAATTCGCATAAATTTTATTTATACTAACATCACAATTTACCTCTAGCCTCTCCTTTGCATAGATCCAAAGAATCCTACAATACAATCTGATTATCATCTTTAGAACTGTGCTGAATTTAGAGAATATAAAAGATAATGAAAACATTAGAATCCTTATATTTTTCTTTACTTTCTCTCTTATTTCTCTCTTAATCTTACTCCTCCAAATCCTCATAGAAATTACTGTTCACTGTTATTACTCGGCTACCCAAACCGCACAGATTTTCTGTGTTATAGTACCGCGGTTATTGTAGTGAAATGTCTACAGTAAAATTTGTGAATTTCTCCCTTGCAGCTTGCTGAATTGTGCCGATCCTGCTACAGGAAAAACTGCACAGCCGAAACCTTCTTTACTGGAGATGTCGCTACCTTCAACACTGTGTCAAATTCCTTCCCAATGCACTACACCGAAATCACTCTCAATGCACTGTGTTGTTCATTGACTTCTGACCCGAAATCTTCCCAAATGTTTCCAATTGCCTATATTGTCTACATCTGTGAACTTTATCAAAAGGGAGGAGAATGGGGCCCACTAGTAAACTGATTTCCAAACAATTCCTACAAGCATCTATTCAGATAAATACATATACAATTAATTAATTTAATATTACTTATATTTATTTAAGACAAATAAAATTCATTCAAAATTAATTGATTTCTTTACCTAAATTCGGATATTTATGTTTCTTCTATGCCTTCTTCATGACAAAGGTGAACTTGCTTTCTTAATTCAAACTATCTCAGCAAAATTCAGGATAGTCTAGAGACTCCTTATGGAAGATACTATTAGGTGCAAAAGGGTCCAATGGAAGAGATTGAAAGCAACACAATGATATAAAAGATTCTGAAGCAAACTTTGTTGGATGGAGGATCTAAAAGGCCACGTTAAGCAAGAAATTCAAGCAGACACCAAAAGTTACATTATCATAAAGCCTTGGCTGAAAGACAACTGCTTGTATCATCATTCAGGAGACAGATAAACTATTCGTATTGGTGTTCCAACCAACACACCAAACTCTTTTATCATCTAAAATAATACTGATCCTTGCAATCGAATTCAGCTATAATAAACCATTGAAAAAAAAAACTGACTCCAATATATGGAGGTAAAGATTGGCTCAATCCTAAGGATTGTTTTCTACTAGTTTAGCTCGCATTCTTCTCCGAGAAGAATTTCCCCAATCTTGTGCAACATTAACCAAGCAGACCAGCACATTCTTCTGTGTTATAGCTATCTTTTTCAGGAAGCTAAAGACAATGGATAATTATCAATTTCTGGAAAGCAATTTCAATAGCATATGCAGTTTTTGTGGGACCTGTGATGAATCTCTAGAGTCTACACCATTTATTATTCGAATGTCTCAGTTCCTTCTAGCTTCTACAATGGGCATAAGGGATGCTCAGAGTAAATGTTCAAATCCTGCTACTAAAAAAACAATCAATAGCATAAAATGATTACAAAGTTGTAGAGAGATAAAGTAGCAGCATTTGCATCGTTCCTGTGCTCTGGTAAATGAAATGAAAGAAACGTCTCTTTATCAATTATTCTCCACAAGATTAAATGGAGATCCACTCAAATGCTGCAGTCATGCATGCCCATGGACCGATCTTCTGTTTTACCTTATTATTACATTACTCTTCCTAACGACCTAAGATATGGAGTGATATTTCCTGGTTAAACCATAAATTCATGTTAAGATAGTCCAATCATTTTCCTGTTAGCCTACTTTTAGCCTAGATGATCTCGCATTCTTATATTCTCTTAAAAAAATTGTTGAAAAAAGAAATGTGTTCACTACTACAGATCAAGATGCGGAAACATAGAAGACTATAAAGAGCACAAAAAGTGACTACAATATCGGGCTACATGTTAAAAATGCTTTTTTTTCCTGTCCTATGTGGCATGTATGTACCAGAAAGTCACAGTACCGGAGAGGATTTCTAAAAAAACAAATCATAAAATTAACTTGCAGCAATTTGTTTCTTGCTAAACACAAGTGCGCAACACAAATAATAAACCATAAATGACTTGTCTGGTTATATAAGGCATGAATATCACGATGAATTAGGGAGGACTCAGCAAACATGGAAAAGGATCAAACTTAAACAAAAGATAAAACGAGTTTTTTATGAGATGTCGACATCAGGTGAAATCAGATCTAGGGAAAAAGATATAGTCAACGTATGATGACAAGAACCAGCTGCACAAATCGGGTTCGACATGGAAAACGAAAGAAATCGACAGAAAATAGATTAGGGAAACTGGGAAAGAGAAAGGAGAGAGTAGACCAAAAAAAAAAAGAAACAGTTCAAGATCACCTCACCGTTAAATGAAGAGCAGCTTAGCTACCGCACACCATTCTCTCATCCACGGCGCATAATTTTTCCCTAATGTGAGCCCATGGAAGCAGCAGACGGCGAAAATTTTAGGATTTAAGAGTACCCTCAGTATGGATACTGCTCCTCATAATAAGTACAAAAAGTGCGGCTTGCGGAAAATTTTTTTTTTTTTTTACATTTATGCCAATTAAGGGAAATTCATAAACACAACGCACATAAAGACTTGAACACATGACCTCTTAGCTGGAAGCCTAAACTCTCAACCAACAAGCCAAGATGAGTTGTGTATTGCGGATTTTTTGTATAAGTTGAAAATATAGTGTACTGTCTACCACCAACAACAACATCAAACTTTTATCCCACTATGTGGGATCCGCTACATGAATCAACAACAACATCAAAATTTTATCCCACTATGTGGGATCCGCTGCATGAATCATTTTTCTCTATTGTGTCATATTAAAAGTCAAATTCTCGTTTAAATCTAATAAAGAAAGGTCATTCTTAATATTTATTAACCAAGTCTTTTTAGATCTGCCTCTATCTTTCTTAACATAAGTCAAATCTAATATCTCTACTCTCCTAACCAGGTCATTGAAAGGCCGCCGTTTTATGTGACCAAGCCATCTAAGGAGACTCTCTCTAATCTTATCTTATACTGGAGCTACTCCAACCTTTTCACGTATATGCTCATTTTGTATCATATCTATAAGGATAAAGCCACTCATCCACCTAAGCATCCTCATCTTTGCCACACTTAACTTAGCATTACGCTTCTCTTTTAATGGCTAACATTCAGTACCATAAAGGATTGCAGGCCTCACTACCATCTTATAGAATTTTCCCTTAAGTTTGAGGGGTACTTTTCTATCATACAACAAGCCCGTTACATTCCTCCACTTCAACCATCCAACTTGAATTCTGCTGATAATATCCTCATCTATTTCACCATCAGTCTGAATAATAGATCCAAGATATCTAAAATGTGTACTCTTATTATTGACTTGATCGCCCAAAGTCATAATCCCCTCACTAGGTCTATTATTACTAAAATTACACTCCATATATTCTGTTTTAGATCTACTCAAGCAAAAACATTTAGTCTCTAATGTTGACCTCCATAATTCAAGTTTACTTTCAACTCCCTCTCTAGTCTTATCAACAAGAAGAATATCATTAGCAAAAAGCATACACCAAGGTACATCCTCTTGTAAATGTCATACACCAAGGGTTTTACTGTCTACCTTTTAAAATTATTCTAATTACATATATAATACTAAAATTATAATACTTACATACACACCAGCTTAATACCATCATGTTCATCAAAATTATCACTATATTTTCTACCATCAAAGCGCCTACCCAACCCTACCTTTTGCACGTAAAAGCTCTCTTACTTCGCTCATCCTTGCTTGCCATTCGTACCTAATCCCCTCCTTTGTTATCTAGGTAAGGACAAAGCCATCCAGTCAAGCATGAATAGGCTATCCTTTGCTCTCAACAACTACTTGCACCTAATTAGGTAATCCTTTCCTCTCGAGGAGAGCACAATGCCATCTACTCACACCTGAACAAGTACTCCTTTCCTCTCAAGGCGAGCACAGCATCATCCACTCACCCCTAAACAAGTACTCCTTTGCTCTCGAGGCGAGCACAGCGCCATCCGCTGGCCCCTGAATAGGTACTCATGTCTACCGCTTTCCTTCTCCTTTGATGTGCTTTTTGTCTTCTATAGTTATTCGACTAACAGAGCCGCTCTAAGCAAGCAAGCTCCATGAATGGCGACATGCTACAGTTCTTTAGTAGATGTTGACCCATACACATCAACTCACGCGCAGAAGGGGCAAAATTAACAAATCAAGCAAAGTGTGTGACATTTCACTTGAAGGGTCTAACGACCTTCAATTGTTAAACAAACTGTGCTATTGCAATCAAGAAATCGAGTTCGCCTGAGAGGCAACCCCTCACAGTCAAACCTAATGAGATTGGTCCAATGTGATGACCGACACCCAAAATTAATGAGCAACATCACCCAAATGATGTCCGATCGCAAAATGAATTTCGTCGTTGCATTCGAAATGTTGTCAACACCAAAAAATCAGTGTCAACCTTTTTAATTGGGGTCCTCTGAGGCGACGGCATGAATCCTGAGGGGATTATGTGCAAACAAAAGAAATTGACACTTAACATCGAACGAACGACGGTCGATCGCAAAATGGGCTTTTTTATTACATCCAGAATATCGTCAATACTCAAAAGTGACAATCAAGTTGAGAAATTAAAGCCACACGAAGAAGTCAACACGTATCTTGAGGCAACGTGCAAAATCGAGAAAATTGTCATGTGGCAATGCCCAAAAGACATCCGATCGCAAAACGAGTTTTGTCATTATGTCCAGAATATCATCATTACAAAAATTCAAAATAATTTTGCCCAATAAAAATTGCATGCGCAAAATCAATATGAATTTCGAGGAGAATGAACATAAATCAAGAACTCACTCAAATCGGGCCAAATTTAGTTGATTGATGCATTACTGTCATCTTAAATTAGTGAGTAATAATGATCGGTCATTAATATTACTATTAATTTAATAAAAAAAATAATTTGGAGTCAAATGAAAGATTAGATCGCATTAAGTGTGAACCTCGTTTCTCCATCAAAATCCTGTAAATCCTTCTAAAACATGTCATTCACAGCTAGCGAGGTGGTCGCTTCTGCAAAGCTCATCTTGATGTCATCTCTCATCCTTAAAACAAAATTAAATGAAGCCCTATTAACCTTTTTTTTTCCTTTCTTATATCTCCACGCACAAAGCCTTCAGCCTCAGCCATCCCCCATCCCGATGTCCTCACTGTGTAAGCCTCTCAACCCCTACAGCTACTGCATTTCATAACCTACTTTAAACTAAACAGAACCCACAACTCTTTCTTTCTCCCTTTGAATCTCCTCAGAGCCAAATACTCTACAAACACCTCTAGTTAATTCCAACCTCACAACCAGCTTCACCCATCAATCCTCCCCAATCAGCTGCCAAAATACCTCTACTCCTATCCACGAACTTGCTCCATGCTCACCTGAAGCCTTCTACTTCATATGACCCCTCCCATTTCCTTTACTCATGTACTCAAACAACAAATATTCACCCGATCCATGCCTTGCTCGACTTCACTCTGATATAGTCGAATACTCCTCCTTGCCTCGTTACCGACCGGCCTACACAGCCTTCATGTGCCGACATCACCTCCCTTTGACCACCCTGAAGTCTCATTCCAACAACAACACTCTTCAAAGTCTTCCCCTAAGAAAGAAATGACAAAACTCCATGGTTGAAGCCAAACGCCAGCGAGAGAAAAGACTCCCCTGAGTCACGAGAAGATTCCTTGCACTTGTAGTCATCTTCCTCGCAACCTCCATGCTTCTTTCACCTATTATTAAATAAACTCTTCCTCATCTATCTTCATAGCTCACTGAACAATGTTTCCTGATTCCAACTAAAGTTGCATGAAGCAGAGTGTGTTTTTTCCCTATGACTTAAACCCTAGCTTCTCCTCTCTGTCGTTGCGTGGGTTCTCGATGTCGGGAGAGGTCCTACCTCTCCCCCCTTTGGATGGCTCTGGATCCGAAGGATTTTCCCTCCCTTCCTGGCCATTCTCTTCTTAGGCCAGCTCCCACTTTCGTCCAAGGCCTTTTATATGCCGATACCACCGCTTCCCCCCCTTCTGTCCCTGAACCCTTTCCAGCGGCTTTCTTCCCATCGTTACCCAAGCTCTCTTTTACTGCTGGTGATCTCTTAGAAGGTTCTATGCTTTGGACTCTCTCTCTCATCGGATACTTGATTAGTCAATGTTTGTATCATGAGCGACTTCTCGCCGCTATGAAAAAGGTTTGGCCTTTAAAAGGTGCGATCACCCTAATCTCTCTTGTTGATGGATTTTTCTCATAAAGTTTACATCACAAGAAGATTATGATGCTATTTGGTCGGGTGGACCTTGGTTTCTCCTTGGGAAACCATTCATCTTACAGAAATGGTCTCCCAAATTTAAACTTAAAAGAGATGAGAATGCTTCGATTCCCATTTGGATTAAGATTGTAGACCTTCCACTTGCTTTTTTGACCCCTAATGGCATCTCCAAGATTTCTAGCTATATCGGCATTCCTCTGTCTGTTGACTTCTTAACCGCTAAATATTCCAAACTGACCTTTGCTTGTGTTTGTGTTCAAATCTCAAAGGATTCTCCTCTTCCCGATGAGATTTCTTTAAAGATTGATGGTGAAGATATGTCTCTTAAGGTGGTTTACGATTGGAAACCCACCCCGTGCGAAGGCTACCACTCTCTTATTCATCCCTTCTCACTTTGCCCTTCTAACCCCAACCCCACAAATGTAGCCATCATCCCCTTTCTGCTACGAGGTAGGAGTTCTAGTCGGCCTCCTTGGCCGACTCTCAGCACAACCTCTAAACCTCCTTCCACATCTGTTGTTCCCTCAAACCCAATTCCACGATCTTCTTCTGTCCCTCTTGAGACGTGTGTTGAATCTAGTTCTTCATTCGCCCCGCCCCCCCCCCCCCACACCATTCTCCCTTCCTGAGAAGACTCCACTTATCCCCAACTTAAACTCTCTGAATGAAGACTCTTCTAATGAAGCCTCTTCCTCTTTGGAAACCCCCATCTACCTCCCTATGTCATTCCTTCCTCACACTCTCCTCCAAACCTTACCACCTCCAACAGTTCAAGGATCTTCTCATGGAGGAACCTCATATTATTATTGATAGTAATTCGATTTTTGATGACAATCCCCTGCCTTTATCCAATGACATTAACATCGTGTTAATGTTTGCCCCTCCTCCTCAAATGCCTAATCCTCCCCTCTCTCTAAGCATACTAGAGGGAAATCAGCTAAAAAATTCAAACCTTCTAAATCCAAATCCTAATGCTTTATCCCAATCTTGCTAGTTGGAATATTAGGGGGTTCAATACACCCGACAAGGTGATGGTGTGGAGGGACCTTGTTCGTGCACATAATATGAAGTTCTTATGTCTACTGGAAGCTAAGATTCTTCCCTCTTCGATTGAGTATGACTGGGTTTTAAATGCTCATCGTGTTTTTGATAAT